ATGCGATTCGTTTTGGAAAAATGTGTTTTTCGGACGAATTTTCGTTATTCAGAGATTGAAATGTATCCGAATTTCCGAATAACAGAAATGACAAATGAAAACGTATCCAAATTTCCGAAAACGAAATTTCGGACGAAATTCGTTAGCGGTAGTCTGTACGGATTTTTGTTAGTGGATGAATTTTCGTTGCAGCAAAGTGACATGTTAATGCTTATATATTTGTTTTTATATATCATTCTGCTGCAACGAAACAAATGCAACAAAAAACAAAAGTCGCACAGACTACCGCTAACGAATTTTGTCCGAATCCAGATCCCGAAACGAATTGACTTTCGGACCCAAATCCCGAAAAACGAAATAACGCAAAATCCAAATCAAAACGAAACAAAAATGTCTAATTCCTGCTCCCCTCAATGGTTCGATCCGCCACCCCTACTTCACCACTCCGTCACCGCCGTACGTCACGAAGCAGGACTATCACAGACCTGACCAACATGAACCCGTAATGCGCAGGTGGGTGCTGCAGTGACCGCGGTTTATGCCGCCAATCAATCAGTAGTAGACAAGGAAGTCTCCAACGTTTGCTCAACCAACCTCTCTTTATTGTAGTGCTGGTGACCTCCTTATCTACGTCTCACGTCGGGTCATGTCTCCCTCTGATGTATCCTTCTATCTGCTCTGCAGGATGAGGACGTCGCGTGGAGTCGGCCTCTCACGTCACACACGTCAACCAGAAGAGTGAGAGGTGACATCTCGAGTGAGCTAACTCTACACCACCAGGGCAGAGGCAGGAAAGCTGGGGCATGGTGTGTCCAGTTTTATTGTTATGACGCCTGCTAGGCTACCACTACACCCCGAGGGCAGAGGCAGGGGAGCTGGGCTGCTGGGGCATGGTGTGTCCAGTCTTATTGTTATGACGCCTGCTAGGCTACCACTACACCACGAGGGCAAGGGCAGAGCAAAAAATAATTGTATATAAATAAATGGGTTAATTTCTAAGTAAAAAAATATATACAGTATATAAATTCAACCACTAGGCCCATTGCATGGCGGGGGCATAGCGGGTAGGGGCGGGGGGCCCCAAGAAAATGTTTGTCCAGGGTCCAATCAATATAAAAGACAGCCCTGTGTCTGGGGTATCATGCGGCCCCCTCAGTACACTCTGGGACGTCTTCCACCACAGCTGGAGAGATGAACGTCCACCTGACTTAGCGCTGGGGTGTTAGTTGACGTTTGACTTTACAGTACACAGAGATGTCGGCCTGGGGCAAGTGTGACCAGCCTCACAGTGTCCTGTTATAATCACACACCGTGACACCTCGCCGCAGTTCAAACAGTTCTACTTAAAAGTGTCTAAATCACAAACGTGCCACACAGGATCAACCTGCGAGGTCTCCGGGGATCAGATATATGAACATAGGGGCAGCTCAAGGTTCTGGATGTATAAACAATGCTTCACCAGGACAAGGCTTTATAAAGCCAGCCATCCCTAAAGCAGAACCTCAACCTCCTATTCCTTACAGCCAAGGAAGGCGCCATCTTCTATTGATATTGCAGTTGCCATGGTACTGCACATGTAATCAGCCATGACAGCGTTGAGGCGTGTTCAGTTGCTCAGACGCTGCAAGTGCTGAGTTAGCAAAACACCGCTGACTGTACTGCAAGTCCGCGCTCAGCACTGATAACTTAGCACTCGCAGCGGATGTGAATGTGGAGGCAGAGCGCTGAGTGTGATGAAGAAGGTTGGGACAGAGCACCAGTGGCCATTTTACCTGTGGGCACACCTGGCAGCGCTGGGGAAAGGTGTCTGAACCCTGATGGAGGAAGTCACAGTTCAACGTGGAAACCTACAATTTAATGTTTCGGTGGACGGGCGCACCAAATGTTCGTTGAAAAATGGTATTTATTAGTCAAAAATATTATTCTCCGCCTCAGCTTTGCACTGTGCAGCAGAAGCGTTCAGTGAAGCTGCTGCAGCAACCTGAAGTGCTGCAGAAAACAGCTACTAAGCGCTTGGCTAAAGCATTATAAAAATATTTTTGACTAATAAATACCATTTTGCAATCAATATTTGGTCTGCTCAGCAACCAAAACATTAAATTGTAGGTTCCCACACTGAATCGATTTCCTCCATCGGGATTCAGGCACCTTTCTCCAGCGCTGCCAGGTGTGCCCAAAGTTAAAATGGCCGCTGGTGATCTGTCCCCACCTTCTCCGTCACACTTAGCGCTCTGCATCCACATTCACCACTGCGAGTGCTAAGTTAGCAGCGCTGAACGCATTCATGCTGCACAGCGTTCATCGGCGGTTTCCTGCCAGCACTCGCAGTGGCTGAGCAACTGAACGCGCCTCTGGTATGGCAGCCATTTGAGGGCTTGAAAGTTCGGTTGAGAGCTGAAATCAGCGCACTGACAACCTTGACAGTTGGCAGGCCTGTTTTGGGAGACCATTAAATTGGTGGGCCTAGCTTCACGTTAGTCCCCATTCACACCTATGTGTTCTGTGAACGTGCTCATTGACACGTGTTCACAGACTGCGTCAAAAACATGTAACGTGCTTGCGGTGCCATTAATTGTTAAGGGAAAACACACTTTTTTTTAAACGCGCAGTGAAAAAAACATTGTACGCCTGTAGAAGAATCTGCCTCATGCCTTGAAAGTGACTGTTTTGGGAGACATCAAATTGGTGGGTGCACACCTTCACATTCCAGGAACGCACATCATGTCTGCACGTGTTTTTTCCCCACATTTGCTGCGCGTCGCCCATTGATTATAATTGGTAAAGGAAAAAGCAGCACAGTGATGAATTAATCTCTCTGTCACTATGCTCTCTCCTCCTATCAGCACACCTGATCAGCTCCTCGTGCTGTTTCTCCATCCCCCAGTGTGAGCTCGGCTGTAGAGGAGAATGCGAGAGGCATATACCATGTCAGGTACTTACTTTGCTTGCATGTGATGATGTATTAATGAATGCAGAGCTGTACTAATGTGACGTTTTCTTTCTGCCCGGAGTTCAGCTTTAACAGACATATCTGATCCTCGATCCTCTTTGACCTCCGTACAATTTTCAGGTCACTGCACATTTCTTACCAGCAATTGCACAACTCCACCCTCTACGCTGGTCTGTAAATCTGATCCCTACACTGACATAAGAATGTTCTGCTCTTTAATAAATATTGTAGAAGAGTCGCCCATCCTCCGCCAGTACGTCTGCAGCACCGGGGGAGTGCCAGCATTCCGCTACAGACCCCAGATTGCATGCAGCATTTGTGTGGGAGCACCAAGACGCATCTCCCCCCCCTCCCCTAGCATGATCCTACAATGAATGTAACCGGCGTGCATCTTCTTCTTCTATAGGTGGCTGCAGCTGGAAGGAATCAATACCATAGAGCCGGGGAAGGTCCCTCTCACTCTGCTGCGTAATGATTACCTGTCTCGCCTCCTCCGCCAGGAGAGACGCCAAAATCCCATGTAGAGATACGTCAGCCGGACCGCTGTATTATCAGGAAGCCAAGCTGGCCGTACAGAGGGAGAATTTCCTACGGAAAAAAAAAGTGTTTTCCAAAGGTTTTATTTTCTAATAGGTAATGAGATCAGATTGGCGATCGATGGCGACCGCAGCGATGAAAAAAAAAATGCAAGGGGTGGGAAATTTTTCTGGAAGGAACAAAATTCTAACAGTGAATGTGATTTTTGTTTCGGGGAAAATCCAATAATTTCCAAAATGAAACGTTAAATCAAATGAAATTACGGGGACACCCTGATGGAGGAATTATATAAGTCCGTGCTCGTGGATAAACAATGTTCCTCAAAGTGCTACTCGCTGCTGTGCATCAGTGTGCGTGTACACTCATAGATTATGGAGTGAGCTTTTCAGGGAGATATACACTCATGTTGTAATTTTTTACAAAATCAATTCAATCATTTTATTAATAAAATACAAATAAATAATATATTTTTATAAATTCATTGGTCTGGAAGTTGTCATTTACCTGTAGATGCCTACAAAACCCCAGCTTTCCTCCTTTTTTTCTAAACCCTGTTTATTGCCCAGTTATCAGTATGAAAAAAACTATATTTTATTTTCTCCCAGTTCTCACCTGCCTCAGTCAGTAGTCGCCTCGTGCCAGTCTGCCTCAGGTGCCTTTCTTTCCGTGTGCCATTGCTCAGTGTAGTACAGTCAGTGTATCAGTGCCATTAGTGTAGTACAGTCAGTATATCAGTGCCATAGCTCAGTGTAGTACAGTCATACAGTATATCAGTGCATTCTCTCAGTGTAGTACAGTGAGTGTATCAGTGCCATCTCTCGGTGCAGTACAGTCACACAGTGCATCAGTCACAGTGTCATAGCTCAGTGTAGTAGTACGGTGTCTCAGTATAGTACAGTCGGTGTATCGGTACCATAGATAGTCAGACAGGGTATCGGTGCCCTCGTCCAGTATAGTAACAGAGTATATCGGTGTAGTACAGTCAGACAGCCCTCGCTTAGTGTAGTAGTAGATGGTCTCAGTGTAGCACGGTGTACAGTGTCCCGGTGCCCTCGCTGGGTTCAGTACTGTCGGACGGTGTAGTACGGTGCAGAGTTCCTCGCTGGGTGTAGTACACAGTCAGGCGGCGTGTCGGTGTACAGTGTCCCGGTGCCCTCGCTCGGTGTACTACAGTCGGACGGTGTACATAGCACGGTGTACAATGCCTCGGTATCCTCGCTGAGCGCCCAGTCCGCTCGGTGGCCCCGCCCCCTGGATGCAGCTCGGAGTCGGTGCAGCCAATCCCGTGGCACAGGGAGGGGAGGAGGGATCAGGAGACCCGGGAGAAAGGGGGGGGTCACTCAGCTCTCTCCATCCCCTCCTGGACGAACACTGTCATCTCACACCGATCCCCAGCGCTCCCCTTCTTACCCCGGTCTCTGCACACCCCCCCTCCCAAAGCCGGGCTTCCGAGGATCAAGATGGTGATTGCCGCATCCCTCCTGTCGGTGTGTCCCCGGCTCCTCCTGCTGTCAAGGCTGAAGACCTGGGCATGGTACAGAAGCTGCTGCAGAGACCCAAGGCTGGCAAAGCCAGTGAGTAGCACGACTCAGATGCTTTTAATTGGCTCAATGCTTTAAAGGGATTAAATCAAGGCAAGAATTAATTAGCAGGCCAGGCTGTGTATCTGTGATGTCTCCTTATCACCCTGATGACTTGCAGGAGATGGGATATCGGGGTGGGGGCAGCGCCAGGGATCAAGGCGTCAGTCATTTGCAGCATGCATGGGGGGGGGGGCGATTCATGTGCAAGGCACCCT